GGTCGCCCGAGGGAGGGGCGTGGTGGGCGCCGCAACCCACCTCGGGGTCGTCTTTGATGCCGTCGTGTTTCCGGGTTGAAGAAATGTAGGCAACTGGGGAGGGAGGAAGGGGCAGCTGCAGGGCCGCAGGGCTGGCCGGGCCGGGCCCCACCCGCCTCTGCTTGGGGCAGGGCCCCGAAAGGGGGCCCGGCGGGGCAGCACCTACTTCCACCGGTCCCCTCGGGGGGAAGGCCCACGCCGTCATTCTTGTCGTCTGCTGGAGGTTCTTGGGAAGGCATGACAGAATCCTGGGGGCCGGGGGGGCAGGCGATGGGGCAGGCGTGGGGCACAGGGCACCCGCCTGCCCTCTGCCAGGGCCCAGCACGGGGCGACCGCACACCCCCCCCGCGGGCACTGTGCGTCAAGGGGAGCCTGGGCTGGGGCTCGCCCCACCCGCCCCGCGCCCGCCCGCGCCCCGCGGCCCTCACCATATGCCTTCTGCAGCTCAGCGGGACGAGCTCGAGGCAGCGTTTATGCACCAGCAGCCTGCAGCGCACGCACCGGTAGCCCTGCCTCGCGAGCCCCCATATCCTCTCGCTGCACTGGCCGCAGTACGCTCTCTGCGGGGCAGAGACGGCGGTCAGGCCGGCCAGACCTCTGCCGGCTCCAGCCCTGGGCAGCTGCCTCTGCCTCCCCTCCCCCGCCGGCTGCCCAGCTGCCCAGCCCCGGCCGCGCTGGCCCCGCCAGCTCGGGCGGCTGAGTGCAGACAGCGGGGACCCCGAGGCGGGAGCCCCCTTTGGGGCCCTCGGAGCAGCTGGGGGCTCCCGGGCCCCAGAGAGCCCAGCTGGCCTCCTCGCCTGTCTCCCCTCCCGCAGCATCTCGGCAGTGTAAACAGCCACGGGCTCTCCGTGGCTCGCCAGGTGACTCGGGTGACGGCTGCCATCGGCAGAGGGTGTCATGCACGGTGAGTGCACCTGCAGGAGCTGGCGCCCACAGTTCTGCAGGTGGCAGCTCCCAGCGCCCCGTCGGGAGCTGTCCGGGGCAGCTGCTCCCTCCAGTGGACGGTGATGCCCGCGGCGCAAACGCCCCATAGCCCGCCAGGTCCACAGCGTCCACCCTCCACAGTGGCCGCATGTCCCAGCTGTGCGCCTGGGCCTGGCGGGTGGTGCTGGGAGCCCCTAGTGCCAGGAGGGCGCCAGGCGGCTGGGCCTGCAGCCTGCGGCTGGCCGCTCCCTCACCACTGGGCAGGGCCTGGGGCTTCCCGAGGTCGGCGAGGAAACAAGCGTCTTGTAACAGGGCTTCTAGAACCCTCTCCGACTCCTGCGCTGGCTCAGCTGCCAGCCCCAGCCGGCTGTGCCCCAGGCCCTGCTCACCCATGCACACCCCCATGTCTTCTCAGCACCCCCAGAGCAGCCCAGTCACCGCTGACAGCCCACACTCCACGTGCTGGACACGGGATGGCAGGCTCCTGGGGCACACACAGAGAAGGGGGCCTGGCTGGCCGTCAAGGTTGAGACAGAGGTGGGGCTTCGCGGGTGGGCGGACGCAGCTGGCCTGGGCCGGCTGGAACCGCAGCCCTCGGGTTCCCCCGCCTCTCCAGAGCCCCTTCCGAGAGGCCCTGTGGGCAAGGCTGGTCAGCACCGGGGCGGGGGCTGCCAGAGCCCCTTCCCCTTCGAGCCCCCAGTCTGGGGGCCCCTCGCAGCAGCCCTGGACACCGGAGCCCCGGCGCCCCACTGTGTGTGGAGCAGGCCCAAAGCGCCATGGGGACACCCATGGCAGGCTAGGACCAGAAACGTCCAGACGGCGGCAGGGGGTGCGGCAGAGGCCGGGGGGCTTCGGGGTCGGCCTGCGCTGGCCGCGCGGACAGCAGGGCCTTAGCTCCAAGGGGCCGCCACGCCATACAGCCCACCAGCCCCGACCCGAGGCACAGCCGGGAGGGCCGTCCTCGGCCACCGCGCCAACTGGCCACACTCACCCTGTTAAAACGCTTGGCTTGGAAGAGGTGGCCGTTGGCTCGGTACAGCTTCCGCCATCTTCTGGCTCCCCGGCGGTAGATGGATTCTAGAGCGGGAAGGAGGCGGGGTGCAGCTCTTGGGGCCTGCCTCTGCTGCTCTGCTGCAGGGGTGCAGCGCAGGGGCGGGGGTGGGGGTAGACCCAGATTCGAGTGGACGTGGGGCGGGGGGCAGCTGTGGTGGCTGGGCAGCAGGGCTCTCCAGAAGGCCAGGCTGCTAGGGCCCCAGAGCCTCTTGGGGTTCCCAACCGGCCCTGACCCCACAGTCGGTGTGCCTGAGAGGGGGCTCCCGCACGGGTCTAGCCGCGTCACCAAACGCCCTTTCACAACACGCAGTCCACACTGGAGTTGGCCCCGACCCGTCTGTCTGCCCCCTCCCAGGGCCTGCTCCAGCTCCACCCTCGGCCCCGCCCCTCCTGCCCTGAGCCCCGCCCCACCCTCGGTTCCGCCCTCCAGGGCTTGGCCCCGCCCC